AACTGGCTCTGCAATGCACCCCGGTTCCTCTCTTCCCTGCCCGCCATGTCTTCCACAGAGGCCTGGCAATGGGGCCTGGGTGTCTCCGGCTCTTCTATACGCGCCTTTTCATTTTCCCTGGCATCTGCCCTTGCTTTGTTCCTCACGCATGCCTGTGGTTTCTTTTGTAGCATGGAATTCTTAAAAAGTGTGAGATTCTTAAAAAGGTAAAGGTTCCCTTGCACGAAAGCCAGTCTGCTCGGGAGGCAAAGCTCTCGGAGGCTGGGCTGGTCCTAGCTGAAGGGCATGAACTGTGTGCATGAATTATTGACAACAAACCTAACTGTCTGGAACTGGCTCTGCCATGCACCCCAGTTCCTCGCTTCCCTGCCCGCCATGTCTTCCACGGAGGCCTGGCAATGGGGCCTGGGTATCTCCAGCTCTTCTGTGCAACCCCTCACACACCTTTTCGTTTTCCCTGGCACCTGCCCTTGCTTTGTTTCTCACGCATGCCCGTGGTTGCTTTGGTAGCATGGGATTCTTAGCCCCTCAATAAACCATTTCACTCGTATCGGTGGAAGGAACACTGGAGTCCCTGTCTTCCTTCTGGCGTGTGCCTTGACCCACGGGGGTGACGAAGGGCTGAAAGGGACACCAACGGGAACAAAGAGGAGGGGGAGGTTTCAGCCACCCCACCCAACAGCTGCCTTCTGGAGCGGAACCTCACCCGGCCACACCAGCTCCGGTGCCTGGAACCGGTGGTGGTTCCCCTCGACCCGTGCCAAGGTGGGCAGGGAGGCCTCAGAGCTGCTGCCCGGCCACCCCTTCCGCCACCGCCTCTGAACCAGCCAGCGGGAGCTACATATAGGGAAAGGTGGAGACCTGACAGGGGACCACAAGGACTCCTCAGAAGTCAGGCTTTGGGAGGGGGTGGTGGAGGGAGAAGGGTTTGTCTGCACGAGTGAGATGTCAGACCTTTGGTGACGTTTCCCTGTCCGGCTACCTGAGGAGTTCCAGGAGGCTATAGCGGGGTTTGCTGGGCCTGGTGGGGAGCAACCTGCCACATCTATACGTTATGAACCTGCCTGACAGGATTCTGCCTCAGCCGTATACTCCCTACACTTTAACATCCCATAACTGCTGGTTGATTGTTCATTTTTACCTCAGTTGTGTGTGTCCTCTTCAATAAACTCTTTCAAAAGCAAGCCCTCGCATGCTTGTCTGTTTTACCAGTTAGTGATCCATGCTTGGGTGGGTGGGTGCCTACTCTGACCCAGATTGTCTCCCCTGGAACCTTTTTTCAAAAATCCTGCTGGTAACCTTTTGGTCTACCTCTCTCCCATGAGGTCGGCAGGAAATGTGTGAGGGTGAAAGAATCCTGTGGGGTGGGATCTGGCCCAGGAAACCGGTGACAACCCCAATTAGCCCTTTTCTTTCTTTCTCACTTCCTCAGTTTTCCTGGGCCCTGGAGGGACGCAGGCAAGACCTGGGCAATGCCCACATTTGGGGAGAAGTACTGAGGGAACCTTGGGTAAGGATGGTGAGACCAGCCATGCAGACCCACAAGAAATGGCTTTGCAGAGGTTGAATGGCAGATGGGGATGGCTGACAGCCCTGGACAGATTCTTGGACCGGTTCTTCCGAAACAGATCCCAAGATCTGGACATCTGGCACACTACTGTGGCCAAAATGGCTTCCTCAGCAAGCCAGAACTCTCCGGAATTGGCTGTGGAAGAGTCAGTCTCAGGTACCAATATGGGAGTAGATGGAGAAAGCACTCGAATTAGTGAGGGCATTGTGGAGTATCTGAAGGTGATGACCAATAGGGGAAATGTGGGGAGAGTATCTCCACTGGCCCGGAGGGCAGGCGTCGTCTCCTCTTCTTGGGTCCTGAAGAAGGGCGCCTACAATGCCTGGGCGTTGGAGGTTTAGGTTCTTGGCATGACCATGGCAGCTTCAGAACTGAAGCCACAACGTTGGAGAGCTCGAGTGTGAGCATCAACAGCAGCAAAACCAAGACTGAGGAGACTGGAATAGTCATTACTGAGGTAACTGGGGTCTGAGGCACCAAATCCAGTGCAGATGGGTGCTTTTCCCCACAGGGAGGTGGTTGCGGCAAGCGTGTTTTGTGGAGTGGCCATACCAGGAAGAAGAGATTGGATTCATACCCTGCCCTTCACTACTACCCAAAGGTGTCTCAGAGCAGCTTACAAACTCCTTCCCCTCCCCACAACAGACACCCTGTGAGGTAGGTGGGGCTGAGAGAGTTCTGAGAGAAACTGCCCTTTTTTCAAGAACAGCTCTTATCAGAACCACGGCTTTCCCAAGGCCACCCAGCCAGGTGCAAGTGGAGAAGTGGGGAATCAAACCCGGTTCCCCAGGATTAGAGTCCGCACACTTAAC